TGTTATTTGGTGTCAGGTGGAGAGTCTAATCATTGGCAGTCATACCTTATTTTTATATAATGACATACATTATTGAATGGAGATTGTGGAATATTTAATAAATTTTATTAGACAATTTCTTCAATCAACAAAAGTATTTCTCTGGCAAGTTCAATATCACCAACACCAAGTGAAATTATGTCTTCTTCACAGTAAAGATAAGGCGCGTTACGAACGATTTCATTGATTGCTGAGTCGTTGAGATATGTGCAGCCTGGTGCATCCTCATCTTCAAGTATACTAAAAAAATCGAGCAAGTTCTCTTTCAGGAGAATGCTTTCATTGTCACTGATATGTCTGTGTAGATCAGCATCTTCATCTTGTAATTTATATTGTTGCTGTGTCGAGGCAATATTATGAATAAAGTCTAATCTATCACAAGACCCACATTCACAGTTTGCTTTGCAGAATGAGCAACATTTACAAGTCTTTGTTGTGCTGCGGTGTGGCTTATTGTCTAGACTAAAGTAGTCACTCAAAATTTCTTTGCAACATTTCACTTTCTTGCAAAAATCAACTACACTTTCTTTACACCTGCCTTTGGAAATGTCAAAACTTGAATAATAAACAACTGACAATGCATGTCTTCCGTCTCGACCTGCTCGACCACTCTCCTGAGTGAATTGTTCTAGTCCACGAGGAGCACCCCAGTGGATAATCTGCTCAACATCTGCAATGTCAACACCCATTCCAAATGCAATTGTTGCAAACACAACACGTACTTTGCTATCTATCTTTGGAAATTCAGACATAACATGCACTTTGTTTGTTTCAGCTGTAGAACGATGAAACATGGCAATGCGTCTACTGTGAACATCATCTGCACTTTCTGAAAGTTCATAGAAAAAGTATTCATATAATGCTGCACATGAACTTATGTTACGACAATAGACAATGGTCTTTTTAGCCTTTCCTTCTTTCACCTTTATATCATCCAATATCCATTGCAAGTCGCTCATTTGCTTAGTGGTTTTCTTAACAACGTATGTTAAATTAGGTCTTTCAGGAAGCATCCATATTGTATCTGTCCTGTCTTGGTCCATGTTGAGTTTTTTCAGAATTTCAAGTTTCATTTCTTTGGTTGCAGTTGCTGTTAGAGCAACAAATGGTGTTTTCTCAGGAAAAATAGATCTCAACTCGTCTAGCATGGAATATTCTTGTCTGAATTCAGCACCCCTGAAAGGACAATTACAAATATTATCTACTGACTTCTGATCATGACATATCACAAAAAAAAGTATAAAGGTAAACAAAAACTATATCTTTACAATTTTTACTAACCTGCCAAGATTAATAAAACTCATTTTTATGCCGCCACAAAAGACGGAAGTAAATGTTACAATAATGGTTGTTATGGCAACATTATCAATAAATATAGATAGTGAAATAAAAAATTGTTAAGATAAAAAGAAAATAAAAGTAAGTTGAAAGTAAATAAACGGCAGTTAGCTGTATATCCCATTTTATTCAAATACACAGAAATCCTTTTCAGCTTTTTTTGTTTGGAGAATTTGATGTAAAAAAGTTAATCTCTAGTACTTTATTTGGCTTTTTAAACATTTTTTGATTCGAGCATCACTGATGAGTCTTTTGTAGACGAAAAGCGCGTCTGGTGTAAATATAAAATTTCAATCCTGGTACATGTATCTATGAGTTTATTTGACTAGTACTGAAATAGCCTTTTAAGGACCTTAATACTTTTAAGATGGCCCCAATTTAAATTAAATGACAAAAACAATAGAGGAAAATAATTCTGAAAATATTAAATTCTGGTGTCACTGTGTATACATGCAACTAGAAACTGTCCTCACCATTCAGTTATACAGTGGGCCTCATCTATGATTACAGCTTTTACAGCAGTGTTGAAATTTCCACTTGTAAGACTTCTTCTCCATAAACCTGGCAGGAGTGCAGCCTCAGGGGATGAAAAAACTATAGAGTAATCTCCTGCAGATATTCTATCAGCCACACCTGTAAAACAAAAATTTTGAACTTTAGCCAAAAAATGTACATACAACACATAAGGGAAATAAAAAATTTCAGAATGAAAAAATAACACAATAAAAATACATATTATATAATATATCTTATTTGCACAAACTCATTTTTTGTACATTAATTAGGCCGTTAGTTTTCTCGTTTGAATTATTTACATTGTCATTTTCGGGTCTTTTATAGCTGACTATTCGGTATGGGCTTTGCTCATTGTTGAAGGCAGTATGGTGACCTAGTTGTTAATTTCTGTATCATTTGGTCTCTTGTCGAGAGTTGTCTCATTGGTAATCATACCTCATCTTTTTATAATCATTAACAAGAAATGGTTGAGACCTGTTGCAAATATTAAAATAAATAAATAGTAATTGACATGAATGAAAAGTTACAGATTATTATATTGCTTTATAAAACTATCTTTTATAAATATATTTAAACACACAGGGACTCGGTTAGCAGATTAGGATTTTTCAGTATACAGATATGGATAGAAAACTGCACATTGCTAGAAAACAAAGAAATATCGATAGATTTTTCTGTATACGGATATGGATAGAAAACTGCACATTGCTAGAAAATAAAGAAATATCGATGTCATCGTCAAATATGTTAATAAAGTAATACAAATAGACAGGAAATACTAAAAAAAAATATAAAAAACATTGATTAACAAAATTTTAATCTGCTAACCGAGTCCCTGTGTTTAAATACTCTGATATGAAAGAGAAAGACAGTCTTGCCAGTCTTGGTAATAATGATGAGCTTTTGTTTACCAATTGAGGTATTTATATTAATTATTATGCATATCAGTTAACTTGGAAGTTCAGTTTCAATATTCATGATAAAATTTCAACATAATTTTTTTAAATATAATATCATTCTAGTAAATATTATGACTAATTTATGAGATAAAAAAAAACATCAACCTTCCCCCTTTTTTTAATGACGGATTCTCTAACTAATTAAGGCCAACCCTCTCAGTAAATCGAAATTACAATATATTAACCTTTATCTTTTTGACATTCTCCTACAACTGTGGCTGTTATACCCATGTCTTGAAGCTTTTTCATCTGATCTAACATGAGGGCTTGTAACGGTGATATAACCAGAATTGACGATTTCTTCGTTGTTGTCATCTCAAATAGCTCTGGTAAATGGAAGTAAATGCGGGATTTTCCATATCCAGTTGGCAATACAATGAAACAATCCTTGTTTTTCAGGATGGATTTGACAGAATCTAGTTGTTTTTCTTTGAATATAAAGTCGTATCTATCTTGTATTATTTGAAGTGATTGGTCAGCATCCATGTTTGTTTTGAAATACCCGCATTAAAAGTTACAGGAAGTTGTAAGCGCGCAAAATCGAAGGTTGAGTTCACTGATTGGTTCCCTCTTACAGGGAACGACTGACGAGATATTTGCACTGTATGCCTTCAAGCCCTCGATAGGCTATAGGCCGCTAGAGGGCGCAGAATTATTCGAGTTACTCCTTTAATGTGTTTGAGATTTTATAAAGGACTTTCTGTTTTGAATTTTCCTTGGAGTTCGGTATTTTTTGTTATTTTACTTTTTACTGCTCTAGTTTTCAGTTTTCTATTTCATTTTTAAACCACTAAAATTAATTTGAAACCAAATTACCATTATATGTATTAATCACTATTATAATTATTTTATATCAGCTAAACAAAATATTGTACCATATTAAATGACTTTTGATGTATTACTACCATTTGATTATTAAGTTCAATTTAAGAAAAAATACAATTTTAACCAACAATTAAAGAAAAATTGATGGTAAAAATAATATATCCATCTACATGATATTTTAAAAGAAAACCCAAATTATTAGATAAATCCACTCTTTTTTCAGTATTTACTCTAAATAATATAAATAATTTCAAGAAATACCTGTTTTTAACAAACATTTTTATGCAAATTCGATACTAAAAATAGAATTAACCTGCATTATCTGTATATTATTTGACGTCAACTATGAATTTCCAACCATAGGACTTTTAGACATACCAAATACTCTCTCTAAAACCTAAAATGAACTGCAATCTAGTCACAACACCTTTCATAATTTTAAGAAGAATTTGGCAGGGTTTTCCCATAGATGCCCATTTATAAGGTAAGATTTAAACTGTTCTCTGAAAATTGTCTTTATGCAGTCAGATGTTAAATCTTCCCTTTTCCCCTTTTTAAATGTTAAAAACTTATTTCACTCGTGATTATAAGACATAATCCAAACTGTTTCATGCATGGTTTCTTGGCATTTTTTAATGAAGTTGCAAGTCAAACTAGAGCTAAAAATTAACAAATGCATTTTAAAGACTGAGCGAAAGTCATCAAGACTGGAAATGAATTTACACCTATATACATGTATACCTGGGTAAGATTTCATATCATCTATGACTCAGATCAGCCTTGACAAAGAATATATGTCTTCAACTTAAACAGCAATGAAGACAGATATGTAACATTAACAATGAGAAGGACATTAAAGCAGGCCGGACTTCTGTTTTTGGGAAAAAGGGAGATCTAATTTTCTGGGTTTTTTTTACGGGAGCAAATATTTGATTCAATATGTCTGATTGGCTTCTTGTTTTTAATTCCTGGTTAAACATCTTCCAGTCTTCACGATAAGCTTTTAAATCTGCAGGCCCTGAGCTCAATTTTTGGAAAATTTTAGTTAGATTCTGTTGGCCTGTAGGAATGATTTTTACAGGCCCGAAAGGAATTTTACAAGCCTGGGCTACTGGGCCTGTGGTTCAGCATGAAGACTGATCTTCTCAACAACATTTTTCTGGTAAAACATCTTTTTTTTAAATTATTTTTAAAATTTTCTGATTTAATCATCTTTATTCCTACAAAACTTCTCTGCTCTCTTCATATATCACTACTGAAGTATATATATATTTTCTTTGAAGTAGAAGAACTTCCTATACTGAATCATTAATATTAACTAACCTGTTCACATAGTTCTTTGACAGCTGTTAGATTACCATTAATACAAGATAAATGTAGTGATGTTTGTCCATAGTTATCTCTCTGTCTTGGATTAAAACCAGAATATATCAACAATCTCATTAATTCATTTTGTCCTGAAAAGGTAATTTTGCATCATCATGTATAATGACATTCTTATAAGTCACAGTTATTATAATATTGAGAAAAATATGATAAAAAAACATTATATGAGATTTTTTCACATTACACCGCATTTCAAATTTTAATATACATCATACTTTCAAACTTTGCCATTGTGATCACTGCATAGGAAAATGTCAGTGTATGTGATGCTTCATTTTGTAGATATAGGGTAAGGACTTCTCCTGTCTTATACAGGTAACAACTTAGTAGTGAACCACACATCAATCAAGTGTCTCCTTCTTACATGCAATATTTGCACACTATTCAGTATTGAAAATCGTGATTGCATAAATCTATGTCATTTAGACTATGTTGGATGGTTGTCTCGTTGGCAATCATACATGTACCACATCTTCAAAATTCATATAGATAGTGGCGTGTATTCATCTTCTGATTGTTTGTGGTCAGAAAAAAACTGATAACAAAATTTTTCCATGTATTATTACCTGTCTTGAATTTTTTTTCTGTCATAAACTTAAATAAAAAAATTCTGAAGAAATACACAATATGCTATTTTATTAAATGTATACCTTTAAAAGCTGCCCAATGTAATGCATTATCTCCATCCCTGTCTACTATCTGTAGCCTTGCACCTTTACCCATTAGGTAACCAGCTAACATTGTGTGTCCATATTGTGCTGCCACTATTAATGGTGTACATCCTTTATTGTCAACAACATCTATAGAAACACCAGCCTGAAGTAAGATGTCAACTATTGCTACATGTCCATTCACACATGCCCAATGAATTGGACGAGCTCCTAGTTCATTATTGCTTGCCTCGTCAACAGGGCCTTTGTTGTCTAAGATAAATCGAAGTATAACAGTATGGCCTCCAAGACATGCCCAGTGGGCAGGAGTGTGTCCTTTATCATCTCTGAGTGAGAAAACTGAAGGTCCATCTTCAGCTGCTGTTTGAACTGGTACCAACATACTGAAACAAAACAGTTTCAAATGTCCAGACATATTTTTTAACATGTTTAAGGAACATCCATACAATAATAAAAAGACAGTAAAGTATATTCATAACTACATTAATTGTATGGTGAAAACTAAATCTAATTAGAATTATTTTTAACAAATAAAATGTTACCTACAATGTAGGACATTTAGGAGTAACCCCCCCCCCCCAAAAAAAAATTAATTTGAATGGTGTTTGCTTTGAATAGAACATCTCTGTCTTTAAAAATACAGTTATTAGTTATGGTCATAATATAAATATACAGGTTATGTACAAATTGCTGTTTTGTAAACATGAACAAGCAGATTCATATATTTTGAAAGAACTATTTTTTGCATAAAGATAATTTTCTATTGAAAACTGACAAAAATGTTTACCTTATAATGGCCAACAAATTGTCATCACAAATGAGAAGGCCCTGTCATGAGTTTAAACTTTCAAGTGTCATAGGTTTGTCTGAATGCTGATTCAATTTTGTGGTGTCATGAAGGGCATTTTTAGCCAAAAGCAAATGATGAACCTTTATCATTTGTTTATCAAAGAAATTTGTATACATGTATATATTGTTCACAATTATCTTAAAAATAAAAAACAAAAGTTTCTCATGCTTTTTACTTTTAGCAGTAAACAGGTACATTTGTACAATGTAAACATGGTAAACACTTAAAAGTATAGCTCATCCTGCTTTTAACAGCTCATTCAGACTATTACATGTTTATTAATAACACATGCATGACATAGCTGAGAAGGTGATAAAGCAGATTGATACCCTGTGAAAACATTGTTTACCAAGGCAAAGCAAGATTCACAAAAAATTTTCATGGGGTAACAATCTGCTCTATCACCCTCTCAGATGTACACGTGTTATTAAATTTATTAAACTGAATGTTCTGTCATTATTGTCTTTAAATATCAAAAGTGAAGTAGTAATCTATGACTTCATGTACATACAAGTTACTATACATTAGAAAAGAAATAAAAGTGAAGCAATATGTATTTATTTTAAGTTGACATTCTATAATAAAGGCCTGAGGCCGAAACTTATAACTTTAGCATAATCTTTTCAATAGTAATTTCAATTCATCATTGTTCATTGTCTTTTAAATTGTTGATTTTTTATTGGTCTGCATGAGAGGTGACATTTAAAAAATTGTCTGGAGTAAAATGTCTCCCACATATTTACCAATCAAAATCTGGCAAATTATCACCTTTTACATCTAATTTTTTAGAGAAATTTCATTTTCTTAGGATCTCCTGTAGTTGGTGATCGCAATACTGGTATACCAGTATTGTCCACAATACTGGTATAAAAATTTTGTACCAGTATTGTAATTTTTTTTTAAAAAAACAGCAATACTGGTACATTACTGATATACCAGTATTGTAGTTGTATTGTTCACTATACTTTAAGGTGTATAATGAAAAATGAATTTTAAGCAAAATTAGATATTGAAGATCAATGAAGGGAGATTAAATGAACTCAAAAAGATTATAGAAGATAATTGTGAAATCAATTAACAACCAGTTAAAAATAATTACTATACTTGTACAAATAAACAAAAGATTATTGTAATTAACTCATCTTATTCAAACAATTGTTAATTATATAAATAATTGCTAATAATTTTATCATATTTCTATATTTTATTTAATTCAATTTAGATAAAATAAAATAAAAGCTTTATTATCTGAGTTATTATTTAATAAATTCAAGCAAATTATTACACTATGACACTGTAAATTCAGCATTTACATGTATGCCATCGTATATTTTGTAGATATTTTAATACATGTATACTATAAGCATTTGTTTGTCTTTATTTTCTTATCAATCTTTCACAATAAACATGATAAAAGATATCAATAATCCATTAAACATAAAAAGTTGCTTAATAGGGGAACCTGATTATAATCAAATTAACTAGTTTGTCTACATGAATTTTAAGGGTAGTTAAAGAGGTTGATTCAGAACCGTGGGCAATACAATTTGAAGCAGATATATCTACTGGTACAAATACTCAAATACTAATACTAGACAAGAACGGCTCCTACAGTAAGAGAGCTGTACAGGTGCTATCTAAACAAGCTTGTAATCTAGTAAGCGTAAGAGAAAGTCCACAGACTGAATACATAAATATCATTATAGGAAGTGGGGGTTGCAGAAATGCCATCTGAAGAAGAAATAAACAATACCAATGCTGATGATACAGAAGCTATAACAGCATTAATGTCAATATAAAATTCACTAAAATATACTATTGAAACTTGAAAGAGAAAGCTGGAAGAAAACATAGAAGAAAGTAAATAGTTTGTTATAATGCTGAGACAGTACAGTTCCCTTAAGAAAAAAACATCAGAAGATTTAAAATTTTCTTTGATTACAATCACAGTGTACCATCAATGGCATCATCAGTTAAACATACAATTGTCATGTCATATGTTAATATCATTATCAATATATATGTGACACCTTTAATAAAAGATTAATTACCTATATGTATTGTTTATTTTAAAAAAACACAATACTGGTACAATACTGGAATACAATACTGGTACAAAATTTTTATACCAGTATTGTGGACAATACTAGTATACCAGTATTGCGATCACCAACTACAGGAGATCTTTTTCTTATTTTTCATGTTTTTCATTCGGATAATAATCATAATAATTGAATAATTTGCAACTATAATAAAGTAGCAATGCTTTAAAATATATTTTTCTAAATGTTTATTACTTTTTCCATAAAAAAAATCCTCCTAAAAATAATAATAAAAGTTTAATAAAAAAAAATAAGTGTGTCCGTGAAATTTTAGACTACAATCCCAAGTATGATTTAGTATTAATGCAGAAACTGCAATTTAATTTCAAAAGAGACAAATATTGACATTAAAGCTAATATATCTCAATCCAGCTACATAAGCTCAAAATGTAGATATCATTGAACCTCGTAAATGACTAGCAACATTGTAAACAAACACTCATTTCTAAATTTAAACAATAACTTTTAACTTTAAAACTTGTTTTCATTGCTTCATTTAACAAGTAAAATCCTTTGAATCCTCATAATTAGTTACTTTACTTTACAAAACTCTCTGTGTTTCATAGACATTAGTAAAACATGTAAAACAGATAAGATGATGTGATGTGCAAGAGAAAAAGACGGATGTGTGCAATTGGGATGGATTTAGAGGTTGAAATTACCCAGATTTGATTGCATCAAATATTGGATGATTAGGAGGACTTTTCCCATCTTTGACCGTATTTTCCGTCTCTCCAGGACCATTTTTATGATCCCTGGAGGCTGGTGTTTGGTTAGTTGACATGTTTCCCTTCCGAGATGTTCCAACATGTACATAAATTATTTAACGGATTTACAGACGAAACGAAAGATTATACGAATCGAAAGATTATACGAATCGAAATTCGGAAATCGGTCAACCCCACGTATAAACGGTGACGTCATACAGAATAAAGAGATGTGATATGATTGCTCATGAACATGTCAACTATCCAACAGAGTCAAAATGAAGCGGGTTTCAGCAGGGACTTTCTATACTAACAAAGTCCCTGGTTCAAAAAGTCAGCTACTACGACTACTAGGCTATATGTTTCCATGCGACCGTGGCATAATTGATTTCCAATTAGGGGCATTACACTTTTAAAAATAGTTGATTGGCACCGATTTTCGAAATGTCCGAGACATTGGTGATATAAGTTTAATAAAAAATCTGGAAAGAATTGTACGCGTGAGAGAGCTTTCAATGCCATTTTCCATATAATTAATATTTTCAAGGGGCATAACTCTTTTATAAATAGTTGATCGACACTGATTTTCAAACTTGTTTGACATTGCTGATATAAACCTCTTATATAAGTTTAATAAAAAAAAAATCTGGCAAGAATTATACACGTGAGAGCGTTCACAAGATCGGACGTACGGACACACAGACGCTCAGACGCTTTGGAAAATTGCATTCAGTAAGCGCTCCCCGTGTACAATTCTTTTCAGATTTTTAACAATATCATCACTTACTGACTTCCACAATGGAAACTGTAAAAACCAACTGCATAAAAACTAAAGAGCTTGCTTACAAAGCATGATATGTCACACCAAAAGTAGAATAATTCAGTGTTGTCTAGGATCCCTGGCAGAAACAACAAATAAATAAAATCGAAACTGTGATCCAGGGAAGAGCTGTCCGGTATACATTAAATCAATACAGCTACCAAAGTAGTGTACTTATAACCGCCATGCTTGAACATCTAAGCTGGTCAACATGGACTACATGGCAAAGAAGAAATCTTGCATCAGTCACAAAATACAACATCAATTTGTTTCCATCTCAAACAAGCAATATGAGTTAAGCCATTTTCAACTGCTTTTTATAGTTTGTTCCGTTTATATTGTGCTGTAACACCACTGTCCCAGGTTAGGGGAGGGTTGAGAGCTCAACCAGTGCTTGGAAATAGTTTTATGCTACACCCCTACGTCTTTTTCTATGAAAGAGATACGGAAAAAGTGAACCCATTCAAAATTACTAAAGATAGATTCCCATCAAACAAACATTTCATTCAACCCGTTTGAAAATTAATCTTGATGCATCGACTACACTTGTAGACTTGATTCCGATCATTTTTCCTCCTTCTAGTTTTTCATGTCAGGTAGGAAATTTAAAATAGTAGTTCATAGGGATCTTCATGCCAAACCACCTGTGTTTGGTTTCTGTTCTGTTCACTTCAGGGTACATTTAGCCTGTGTAATTTATTTCTATCTTTACACAGTCATATTTTTCTAATAGTGTCAATTTCCATACTTTATCAAGTCAAATACATTGTATTCCGTCATACATGTCTCATTCCTTAATGAAAACCGGAGAAAGGAAGAAAGACCATTCACAATTTGTCTTACATTTGTTTTTCTCTCTTTCAATTAAATAAAAAAAATATATAAACCTTTCAGATATAGAGTTCATAAGAAGGAAATATTCCCTGTGGAACACCCCCCCCCCCCCTTTTTGTGCTCTCTATTTTCAACCCTCTAATTTAATTAAAAGTAAAACTTTGATTTCTAACCGATCTATTCATGTACCGGACCGGCAACTTTTTTTTATTTAATAAGAAAATATACAGTGCCGTTATACACATGCATGTTGATTGCTTGGAGTACCCGCCCGAAAAGAAAGAAATAGTCCAACTCCAAGATACTATATTCCTGAATCACGTGATTTTTACTACGTGGAGCTTAAATTAGAATAAATACCGAATATGGAAAGTGAAACTACAATTCATAACATAAAGTCGGTTGGCAAATAGAAGAAAAAAAAAGATTTTTTTTGGCAAAGGGTACCGGGGTAATCCTCTTTGTGTTAAACATATACATGAAATATTTGCCACTGCCCCTTGTCTCGGTTCTATGAATGTTTACCCTGAGTTTTCTATCTGTTACTAAACAGGTTTAACCAGGCACATTCTTCATATGTCTGTCCCAGGTCATGAGCCTGTGGTTCAGTGGTTGTCGTTGGTTCGTGTCCGTCATGTTTGTTTTTTGTATATATTGTTTTGTTATAAATTAAGCCGTTAGTTTTCTCTGTTGAATTGGTTTATATCGTGGCCTTTTATAGCCGACTGTACGGTATGGGTTTTTCTCATTGTTGAAAGCCGCGTGCGGTTGCCTGTAATTGCTTACATCCACTTCATTTGAACTTGGGTGGATAGTTGTCTCATTGGCAATCATACAGCATCTCCTTATTTTTATGATATACATACTTATAGTACCATCAAAAGAACATAACTTTATACAGCCGTTATCTCCCACAAATTACCATTTATATTCATTTTTTCCTAGAAAAATAAGTTTGTGGCCAGAAGCCTGCATTTCAGTCTTGTGCAAAATCCCAAATTGAACAAATACATATTTTATCTATAAACAAAAATATTAATTAAAAAATGTTTTTGAAATTTATTGTAAACGTGTTCAGATTTTTTAATTTTCCCTAGCAAATACCTTCTGGTAATCTTCAACATATTGAAGTTAAAAAGTATTAAGTTGATGAGGTGCAGCACGGACAGACGGACGGACGCACGAACGCACGTCCATCCGTCCGATATCTCTGTATCCCCCGCAACGCGTCGCACTGCGGACAATAAAAGGACAAAATAAACTTCTTGGTGCGTGGCTACATTCAAAATTACATACATCTAAATTAAAACCATTTGTGTTTATAATTTTCTTTTTACATCTGTATCAGTGATTTAAACCAGACTTATATAGAAAATAGTATCAGAAGTATTTTGCAGGTCTACCAGTAAGGACAGTGTCGCAAGTAAAACAGCACGTGGAGGATTGTGATTTATTATGATCTACTTAATGAATAGGATAGGCGTCTGTAGAATGTGGACTTTGGGAAAATATATTACAATTCGTACAATATATTATTAAATATAGTTGCCCAAACTTGAAATGTTTAAGTCGTTTGTATCAAGTGATCTCTTATATATTTGATACAATATTTGACGTGATAGTGACACTGGTGCCAGTCTTGATCATGTCAGTATTCATTAAATTGGCGTTATGTTTGCTATTTTTTGTTCACCAGGAACAATGCATTCCTCATGTTTATATTTAAAGTAAACGGACTCCACTGTCCTAAACCAGCTAAATATACTAATTTCAAAAGATCCCGGTGGTATCCATTTAAAAATAGTTTCCAATATGAATAAAAAAATATAGAGAAAAATGGATCAAAGAAATAAGGGTAGAGAATAATGGGTGCTAAAACATAAAGAATACAGAAATGAAGGACCCCATCCAGACCCTCGTACAAGTGTCTATCAATATTTCAATATCTTTTAAACAAATTGAAAGAATTGGTCCTGTCTTGTTTCATAAAAAAGAATGACCAACGTAGATACACGTATATCTCGTCTTATGGAGGGAAAATCGTATTTGTAAAAAATCACTCTGATTCAAACAAAAAAAATCTCTGATACTGACATTACCCGCCAAGATTCATACAGGAGCTTCTTATAGGAAGAAAGAAAAGAAGCTAGCAGTATCCTTTAACTTCGCTTTCCGCTATAGATGAAGTCCTCTCACTAAATACTTCAAATTTTGGTAACTTTGTTGAACGCATCTACCCCATAGAGCTTGAAAAAAAGGATACAACAGATACAGTTAAGTCTGCCTCATATCTTGACCTATGTCTAGAAATTGACAATGAGGATTGGTTGAGAATGTGACCTCAGTACCGAATTAGACTGATCACCGAGTTTATGCTTACATGAGCAACACGACGGGTGCCACGTGTGGAGCACTTGAGGATCTGCTTACCCTTCCGTAGCACCTAAGATTTGAGACCTGAGATCACCCCTGGCAGTTTTTGATTGGGTTCGTGTTGCTCAGTCATCAGTTTTCTATGTTGTGTTTTGTATACTGTTGTTTGTCTTTTGTTCGTTTTTCGTTTTTTTTTGCCATGTTAGTTTGTTTTATGACCTATTATGAGTATGAATGTTCCATGTGTTCCTTTGGTATCTTTTGCCTCGCTATGAAAATCACTTCAAGACTTAAAAAGTTGTAGACAGTAAAAGATCCGTCATGAAAACCAAAATCCCGTTATTGAAAACAAGAACAACAGTACGATGTAAATAAAGGCAACAGCAGTTTTCTGATGGCCTTCCTGTCTTTGGACAAGCACAAAAAAGCTAGAAAACTGCTCTGTCGTTACGTAACTGAGGGACAACTGTACTAGTAATTTGACGTGAGCGTACATTTGTTTTTTGTTTTTTTTCGTTTTGAAATATGACAACGGTATATGTACAAAGTCACGAAAGATATATAAGTCACCTAGCAATCACAAATAAAGATAACCGTTCATATTGCTAGATAATATGTTATTTTCAAAACATAAAAATACCAACAATAATGAAAGCTTACATATTCTAACCAAAAGTATCATAACATTTTATTGGTCTAACATAAAGTAGTAAAGTAAAGTAAAGTAATCTGTATTTAAAGTCGGGTTGCATATATACATAATAACAAGGAACATATGAGCTCTTAAGAGCTCTTTAACCGACTGATATTAAATAACAAAACATACATGTAATATCATCAGATACGTATACAACACAAACATACAGACAGCACATACATGTATTAATACATAGATAGCACATGCAAAACTAGTAAAAGCTAAGCAAGATCAGAGACATATATATATATATATATATATATATGTGTATATATGTCTCTGGCAAGATATATATATTAAAACAAATGTCAAATATCAGCACATAAGAGCACACATTATCTAGATCCAAGTAGCACATGCAAAATTAAACACTATAAAGCACAAGCAAAAGTCTGAAAGCAGCTACAGCACAGGTAATGCATAAGCAAAACAAAGAAATGATAAATAAAAATAAAAAAATTGCAAAAAATAAAAATAAAAAACATAGTATTGACAAGAAAATTATTACATAATATTAACTATGATATTCAAATCGGTATGGAACCTGTGGAATATTGTTTTATGTGACTATTTTAATTGCCTTCACTGTTCTAAAAAAGAATAGATAACAATTTCGTTCCACATGAAAATCTACAAATTTGAATTTCGGTACTCCTCAAGAGTTTAGTTCAGATTTGACGATAAATTAAGAAGGCCGGAAATTTGATAAATAATGGCTGCTGCTATGGATGTCGATGACGGTGATCTTGGAGAATCTTCAGGTTTGGGATCAGACAAAGCTGGAAAAAAGAGATTTGAAGTTAAAAAAGTAATATATTTCGAAATTTTATCAAAAATCTGTTCCTTGTTCGACAATATTATTTACACATCTTTTGTGTTACTGTTAATTCTATTTTTAGAGTTAATCTGTTAACCAATAAAAATTATTGGTAAATTATATGAGGCAGCTCGAGTTTCCTAAATAGGAAATAGTGGTATTAGTTATCACTAATAGCTAGTCAAGATAATTTTACTATTTTATTTTATCCAAATGACTTTAATCGATACCTCGCCATCATAATTTTTTTAAATAATTTCTGATGAAATTATAATTTTTCGCTATATAGTCATTATAGATGATGATTGAGTTCTCTCACTAAATAATTCAACATTTGGTGACTAGGTTGAACTCATATATCTGTTCGAACTTGAAATAAACGATAAAACAGGTACAGTTAAGTCTGCCTCATATCTTGACTTACATCTAGAAATTGACAATGAGGATTGGTTGAGAATGTGACCTACCGAAATTAAACTTACTTATCATCAGGTTTGTAATTACATGAGGAAAAAAAAAACAGGTGCCACATGTGGAGCAGGATCATATAAATTACAGACCAAGTTTAACTATACATTGACACCTTTAATAAGCCTTTATTGATACAATAACATGTACAGCTAATGGTAATGATAAAATGCATTATTGCAATTGCTGGTTACTCACACCTAATATCAAAGGAATTACAACTATCTCTGTCATATTGTAGATTGATTGTCCATGTATAAATAGTATATTTTTCAATCTTTTCTATTTTAGTGGAATGCTGTAGCTCTATGGGCCTGGGGTATGTACATTATTAAATTGATAAATTATTTCAGGTGGACATGTACATATATTATTATTACATTGATAGAAGTTTTACATATGGATTCAGAGGGGAGCTTTCAAAAACAATAGTTCAAACCGGTCACATGTTAATGTGCCAGTCCCAAGTGGTGAACATTTTTCAGTGGTCTTTAGCTATAATATCTTAATGATGTTTTATCATGTTTATGTCCTTTAAATAATTTGGTACTCACAGGATGAGGTATTTTCTATAGAATTTTGTTTACAACTTCTCTAGACTTTAGAAGAGATCCAAATCCAAAGGGATTTTCAAACTCATAAGTCAAAAACAAACTGACCATACCATAGCAAAAAACGAAAAGACAAACAACAGTACACAAAACACAACATAGAAAAACAAAGACTCAGCAACATGAACCCCATCAAAAACCTGGGGTGATCTCAGGTGCTTCAGACATTGTGGTGTATAGTGCACATTAATAAAACATGGATACATGAATGTTGAATTTTTATTCAGATAATGAAAAAAAAATGGAAATCATTGAACTTATCATGAGAATTATACCTGAATTACAGTTATAATTACATTCTCTTTATTTCCAGACATTGTGGTAGACAACTGTGCTATCTGTAGGAATCACATCATGGATTTGTGTATAGAATGTCAGGCTAACCAGGCCTCTGCCACCAGTGAAGAATGTACAGTAGCTTGGGGAGTATGCAATGTAAGTTGATAGACAAAAAGGCTCATAGCAGGATTTGTATCAATAAATTAAAAACAAGAGGTATAATAAGAACCCTTGTTTTTTTTTCCTAATATTAAGCATTGCCTGCCCTTTTATCATCTTGATGATTTAAAAAAAAAATGAAAATGGAAACTTTTTATACTTTTGATTGGAAGAGTCTTGTTGTTATCAGAGGTGATGACTGAAAACCCATAGCCCTTTGATGATTTTGATTATCTTCTATCTTTTAAAAAGAACACACTTTAAATAAAACCTAATATATTGAGTTTAGTATAATTAATGCTAGAATATGTTTCAAGAATATTGAAGATAAACAAATATTATCATACCCCTCCCCCTTCCAATTTGACATGGAGTTTCTCCAACTGATGCTGAATCAAAGGATATTTTGCTCAGAATTTTGGGCATCAGTTTAAATAGAGGTTATTTTTTTTATGAAAGCAAATTAATTTGATTCAGCACATTTAAGTGCAATAATTATAAACTCCAAATAATCAATAACACACCAAAAAAGAAAATAAAGAAAGTATTTTCAAAAGGATGACAGACAATTTGACAAAAAGGAAAGTTTAGTGAATAATAATATTTCAGCTAAAAGTAATTTCATTCCGTGTCTTATGTTCATGTTCAATGCCAGCTGTTTCTTGTAATTGGAAAGGCAACTTATTTTTAAGGAAACATTATGAATTATTTAAGGCGAAGGTATAATAAGGCCATTTTATTTTGCCCCTGAATATTTAGATATGATCAACTGCCTCAAAAATTATCAAGAAGACATTTTGCTGCAAGTTTTATAGTAATTTAACAAGTCTTCTTTACCTTTCATTTAATTTTACAATACAAATAAACATGAACTACTGACTGAAGACAGCTTGATTTCAAACCTTGATTGATTGAAAGTATTCATTCTATTTGCACTTGCATTTCTAACATTAAAAACTGAATTTGGCTCTCCTAGAGTAGTTTGGTAAAATTTCTGCCCCATTGAACAGTTTGATTAGATGAAAGAAACTGTGGTTGGATCAGATTGTGTTTATAGATATAAGAAGATGTGGTATGAGTGCCAATGAGACAACTCTCCATCAAAGTCACAATTTATAAAAGTAAACTATATATTAAACTACTTTTGGAAGAGTGTTTTATTTTTTTGTCAGATATTTTAATGGTTATTGAAGAAATAAACTGCTTGTTTAAACATTAATGATGTATTTCTTTGAATGATTTCAGCATGCATTCCACTTCCACTGTATATCCAGATGGCTAAAGACTAGACAAGTATGTCCTCTAGACAACAGAGAGTGGGAGTTTCAGAAGTATATATTTCCAGAATTTAGATGAATTAAATGTTGACATTCACAATTGATACTTTAAATAACAAAAGCATGTTTTAAGTCCAAATTGAGAACTTTTCCTCCCACACAATATTAAATATTAAAGGATGTATTGGTTTTAATAATCATTATCATTTAATTGTAGTGCATGCATTAACTCCACTCAGGAGAGATTCATTTAACTTATCTGGTCACTTTTAAACATGTTATCAGTATGTTTTTATTTTAAGATTAAGGTTAATATTGTTTAAAAAATCATTTCTGTTAATTTTTTATAGTAGATAGTAGTAACTTTATGGTGATTACCTATATTGATATATTTTTAAAACAGTGAACTAGTAATAATATGGGAGACAATCATATATTTCAGATATGGACATTAAATTTATGGGTCTTTGGTAGAGTACGACCTGTTAGTACAGACTGTTTGGACTGATGCCACAGAAGATTGATGTAGTCATATGATGATCATTTCATTTACATTTTGATCCTTTAAATTTACATTATTTGTTACTCACAATTTGTTTGAGTGTTGTAAATAATAAAAAAGTCCATTTGATTGCTTTCCATATACACAAAGTTTCAATGAAATCAAATCTTTCAGAAACTGTCTAGCTGGTCTCTTGGTAACATGTTCCCCTTGAGTGAAGGAGGTCGTGGGTTCCAACCCAGGCCTGGTCAAACCAAAGACTAGAACATTGGTATTTGCTGCTTTAATTTTAATACCATATTGTCATGTTCTGGTCCTGAATATGCATTTAATTTGCCACTGGACATTAAACAGCCGTTCAAGCCGTCCCTTCGTCCAATCTTTCAGGTAGATGATAGTGTAGCAGTTTGATAACATATGCAAATAAATTTAGATGATTTCATGCACATACATACATTTTCTACTAATTATATGCTTATTTAGTTTAAGATTTGAGGACTTATCCAACTATAATTATAACTTGCTCAATTATTGCATATACCAAAACAAGATATGGTAGTGTATGTTGCCAAACAAAAGTAATTATAATATAACTCCCATGTAAAGAGTCCATCTTTAACTTTCAAATCCCATGAAAGAATCACTTTTTAGCTCACCTGGCCCAAAGAGCTTTTCTAAACACTAAGTGTGTCGTCCCTTAACTTTTACAAACATCTACTACTCTGAAACTACTGGGCCAAGATGGCAGATATGGCTAAAAATAGAACATTTTAATAAACCTGAAAACCAACATGACAGACATTGCTAAAAATAGAAGATGGGGGTAAATGCAAGTTTTGTCTAATATCTTGAAAATCGCTATGAATCGAAAAATTCTGATGGGGCAGAAATGTTCAGAATGTTGAGATCTACCTGCTGTCAATTTACATCAAGACTGTCAGACGTTTTCTTATATGAGTTATTAAGTCTCCCAAACGAAGTTTGGGAAGACTTATTGTTTTTGCTCAGTTCTTATTATTATTATTATTCTTCTTCTTCTTCTTCTTCTTCTTCCTCTTCCGCCGCTTTTAAATTTGAACTTGTCCGCACCCGTTCTCCAAAACCGCTTGTCAGATTAACTTAGGGTTTCACAATATGTTAGACTAACATGTCTAGTGGTGCAATCAGGGTTTTGTTTGTGCATTGGGGTTTATAAAGGGGTACTTTGAGGTGCAAAAAGAAAAGAGGGTTTTACTATAGAACCCTATGGGATTTTATTTTTAAATATTTTCAAATGATTATAAATTGAAAACTGTTTGTGATAGACACAATCTTTTGAATTGAAAATGTTCTAAATGATAAAGCCCATTAAATGAAATACAGGGTTAGTCCCCAGGGGTCACCCCCACCCCCTGCCATTTGAGAAAGTTCTAATACCTTGTAAATGGTCACGATCCCCACCCCTAAACCATATATATTTTGGTTTGTCATGCTAAGATGGTTTGAATGATATACAGGGTTAGTCCCCAGGGGTCATCCCGACCCCCTGCCATTTGAGAAAGTTCTAATATCTTGTAAATGGTCGAGATCCCCACCCCTAAACCATATATATTCTGGTTTGTCATGATAAAGCACATCTAATGAAATACCGGGTTAGTCCCCAGGGGTCACCCCCACCCCATGCCATTTAAAAAAGTTCTAATATCTTGTAAATGGTCAAGATCCCCACCCCTAAACCATATATTTTCTGGTTTGTCATGCTAAGATGGTTTGAATGATATACAGGGTTAGTCCCCAGGGGTCATCCAGACCCCCTGCCATTTGAGAAAGTTCTAATATCTTGTAAATGGTCGAGATCCCCACCCATAAACCATATATATTTTGGTTTGTCATGCTAAGATGGTTTGAATGATATACAGGGTTAGTCCCCAGGGGTCATTCCGACCCCCTGCCATTTGAGAAAGTTCTAATATCTTGTAAATGGTCGAGATCCCCACCCCTAAACCATATATATTCTGGTTTGTCATGATAAAGCACATCAAATGAAATACAGGGTTAGTCCCCAGGGGTCACCCCCACCCCATGCCATTTAAAAAAGTTCTAATATCTTGTAAGTGGTCAAGATCCCCACCCCTAAACCATATATATTCTGGTTTGTCATGCCAAGATGATTTGAATGATATACAGGGTTAGTCCCCAGGCATCACTAATGCATATAACTTTACTGCACCAAATCAATTTTCACTGGACTTTGCCCAATGTCAGGCGACCCTGGGAATTACGAATTATGGGAGCTTCGTTTGGGAGACTTCGTAACAGCATCCTGTTACAATCATTTCTTGTTACCCTTAAATGTCAAATTTTACCAATTTTTTTCATTCTTGCCTATTATTTGGAAAACTGTAATAGATAGAGACAAACTGTAACGAGGAAAAATGATCAGCAAGACAAAATCTACAAAAGTGCAAATGGCTGAAATCATCAGAGGACTCGTTATTTGAGTTATTGCTCTTTTTAATGACGATTTTTTACCCATTATTTTGCATTTTTTGCCTATTACCTTAAAAATTATAATAGATGTATAGAAACTTTAAATAGCAAAAATGATCGGCAAGACAAGATCTACAAATAAGCCATCATGGCTTAAATTTAAAGTCGACTCCCTAATGGAGTTATTGCTGTTTAAAGACGATTTTTATTCCTCGCAACTGAAAGTTGGGGCATATTGTTTTACACCTGTCCGTCCATCCGTCTGTCCCAATATGGGTATATAGTTATTCCAATTAACTCCTACAGTTTGAATGCTAGGAAGTTTTCTCTTTGCTGGCTGTTTGTACATATATTGAAGGTGTACATGTGGTCAGGGTTTTGATTTTTGTCGAGCCTGCGACTTTTGTCGCAGAAAGCTCGACATAGGGATAGCGATCCGGCGGCGGCGGCGGCGGCGGCGGCGGCGTTAGCTAACTTCTTAAAAGCTTTATATTTTAGAAGGTGGAAGACCTGGATGCTTCATACTTTGTACATGGATGCCTCATGTTACGAAGTTTCCGTCAGTCACATGTCCAATGTCCTTGACCTCATTTTCATGGTTCAGTGACTGCTTGAAAAAAAAGTTCAGATTTTTTGTAATGTTAAATTCTCTCTTATTATAAGTAATAGGATAACTATATTTGGTATGTGCGTACCTTGCAAGGTCCTCATGCCCGTCAGACAGTTTTCACTTGACCTCGACCTCATTTCATGGATCAGTGAACAAGGTTAAGTTTTCGTGGTCAAGTCCATATCTCAGATACTATAAGCAATAGGTCTAGTATATTCGGTGTATGGAAGGACTGTAAGGTGTACATGTCCAACTGGCAGGTGTCATCTGACCTTGACCTCATTTTCATGGTTCAGTGGTTATAGTTAAGTTTTTGTGTTTTGGTCTGTTTTTCTTATACTGTATGCAATAGGTCTACTATATTTGGTGTATGGAATGATTGTAAGGTGTACATGTCTAGCTGGCAGGTGTCATCTGACCTTGACCTCATTTTCATGGTTCAGTGGTCAAAGTTAAGTTTTTGAGTTTTGGTCTTTTTTTCTAATACTGCATGCAATAGGTCAGCTATATTTGGTGTATGGAATGATTGTAAGGTGTACATGTCTAGCTGGCAGGTGTCATCTTACCTTGACCTCATTTTCATGGTTCAGTTGTCAAAGTTAAGTTTTTGAGTTTTGGTCTTTTTTTCTAATACTATATGCAATAGTTCAACTATATTTGGTGTATGGAAATATTTTATGATCTATATGTCAGTCACGCAGGTTTTATTTGACCTTGACCTCATTTTCAAGGTTCATTGCTCAGTGTTAAGTTTTTGTGTTTTCGTCTGTTTTTCTTAAACTATAAGCAATAGGTCAACTATATTTGTTGTATGGAAGAATTGTTAGCTGTACATGCCTGCCTAGCATGGTTCATCTGACCTTGACCTCATTTTCATGGTTCCATGGTCAATGTTTAGTTTACTTGGTTAATGTTAAGTTTATGTGACAGTTGTAATAAAGCTTTATATTTAGGACTATCAACATAATATCAATGATTAGTAAAGAAGGCGAGACATTTCAGCGTGTGCACTCTTGTTATTGATATTTGCTCTTTTGGGAGATAGTTGAACTTTGTCATTTTTTGAGTATATAGAAATAAGAAGATGTGGTATAAGTGCCAATGAGACAACTCTCCATCCAAGTCACAATGTGTAAAAAGTAAACAATTATAGGTCAAAGTATGGCCTTCAACACAGAGCCTTGACTCACACCGAACAGCAAGCTATAAAGGGCCCCTAAATGACTAGTGTAAAACAATTCAAACAGGAAAACCAATGGTCTAATCTATATAAAAAAACGAGAAACACTTAACCACATCAACAAACGACAACCACTGAAACAAGTTCCTGACTTAGGACAGATGCAAACAAATGCAGCTGGTTTAAATGTTTTAACGCGCCAACCTTCACCCTAACCTGAAATAGTAGTGTAACATTACAACATAGAAAGACGCACTATAAAATATCAATTGAAATGGCTTAACTCAATCAAAAAGACATATTAACAAAAACAAGTAAACATACACTGAACCAATAAATTTGATCAGTGACACAATGTCAAAAAGACAACTATAACCTTGGACAAAATGGCTTTAAACAAAATAACGTACACAGGTAAATTTAAATAGAATTTTGTTGTTAGTACAGAGATATTGCTCTTTTGAGAGATAGTTGAACTTAGTCATTTTTGGAGTATATACTTGCATAAGAGGGGCATAGCATTTCTGGATAACTCCTCCTACAGTTTGAATACTAGGAAGTTTTCACTTTGCTGGCTGTTTGTACATATATTGAAGGTGTGCATGTGGTCAGGGTTTTGATTTTTGTCGAGCCTTCGACTTTAGTCGAAAAAGCGAGACATAGCGATCCTACATTCCGTCGGCGTCGGCGTCGTCGTCGTCGTCGTCGTTGTCGTCGGCGGCGTCCACAAATATTCACTCTGTGGTTAAAGTTTTTGAAATTTTAATAACTTTCTTAAACTATCCTAGATTTCTACCAAACTTGGACAGAAGCTTGTTTATGATCATAAGATAGTATCCAGAAGTAAATTTTGTAAAAATAAAATTTCATTTTTTCCGTATTTTACTTATAAATGGACTTAGTTTTTCTGCCGGGAAATATTACATTCACTCTGTGGTTAAAGTTTTTAAAATTTTAATAACTTTCTTAAACTATCCTGGGTTTCTACCAAATTTGGACAGAAGCTTGTTTTTGATCATAAAATAGTATCCAGAAGTAAATTTTGTAAAAAAAAAAATCCATTTTTTCCTTATTTTACTTTTAAATGGACTTAGATTTTCTGCCAGGAAACAACACATTCACTCTGTGGTTAAAGTTTTTAAAATTTTAATAACTTTCTTATACTATTTTGGATTTGTACCAAACTTGAACAGAAGCTTGTTTATGATCAAAAGCTAGTATCTAGAAGGAAATTTTGTAAAAAAATAAATCCATTTTTTCCGTATTTTACTTTTAAATGGACTTAGATTTTCTGCCAGGAAACAACACATTCACTCTGTGGTTAAAGTTTTTAAAATTTTAATAACTTTCTTATACTATTTTGGATTTGTACCAAACTTGGACAGAAGCTTGTTTATGATCAAATGCTAGTATCTAGAAGGAAATTTTGTTTTCTTCCAGTTAACATTACATTCAGTCTGCAGTTAAAGTTTTTTAACATTTATTAGATTCATAAACTATCCGGGAATTTTATCAAACTTGGACAGAAGCTTCTTACAATCAAAAGATAGTATCAACAGGAATATTTTTATTGATTTACTTCCTCATTTTTGTTAATATTTGCTCTGTTGGGAGATAGTTGAACTTTGTCATTTTTTGGAGTATCAACTTCCATAAGAGGGGCATAGCGTTTTCAGATAACTCCTACAGTTTCATTGCTAGGAAGTTTTCACTTTGCTGGCTGTTTGTACATATATTGAAGGTGTGCATGTGGTCAGGGTTTTGATTTTTATTAATATTTGCTCTTTTGGGAGATAGTTGAACTTTGTCATTTTTGGAGTATATACTTGCATAAGAGGGGCATAGCGTTTCCGGATAACTCCTCTTACAGTTTGAATGCAAGGAAGTTTTCACTTTGCTGGCTGTTTGTACATATATTGAAGGTGTGTATGTGGTCAGGGTTTTGATTTTTATTAATAATTGCTCTTTTGGGAGATAGTTGAACTTTGTCAATTTTGGAAAATGACGCTATCAGCGGCATGTTTCCGATACAATTGACCAGAACTTACGGAAGTCGATTATTGCCTCCGCCTACCGCACTCGGTTTTATATTTACTATTTAACACACTAACTGGAATCTGCTTGTATTACGCTACACTCGAACAAAGTGTTGTAGTCGGACGGGAACCAGTTTACATACTTTATTTTATTTACCAAAAAGATATCTTGACTTGTCCATATGTTTTTTGTTATTAAATGGTATTTGGAGCTATCCCTTTGTTATATTTTTCATATTTATTCGAGCTTTCACTTTTATGCACAAGTCTTACACTTACAATCGTAAACAATCGGTATGTATACATGATAAATAGATCCGTTTTGTTATGGTGTTGGACTTTTTACCCTCCAATGATCAGCAATCGCTAGACAAAATAGTTCTCCTAAATAATGTCAGCCTTTCATGCCATTTCAACTTTACAATCATTAAAAAAAGTGAAAATCGGAATCATTTTGATATCCATTGGATAGAAACTGGTCTTTATCCAGGTTTACGAAGATTTTAAAAATCGGAAATTAGTAATACGGTTATACCCACGCGGTGCGTATGAATCTTTGTTTACAAAACAGGATTTCGGAACGTCTCTAGTTTTTAGATCGTAAGTCACGATAAACTCAAACTGAAAGTAAACAGTTGTTTGTAAGACGCAGTTTTACTCACCATAAACAAGCTGAAACGTTCAGTATGGCATATATTTTAGGTTAAAGACGGTCCCATTCATTTAAAAAGCATTTTGAAAGTAGACGATGGGATTATTTCAGGTTTGGGGAACGAGTAAATTATCACAAAGTTCATTTTTTGACGACCTCATAATTTCATCATGTCGATGGTACAAATCGATTTTTACTGTTTACTGTCGCTTCTTATGTTTTGTATTTAAACAGTCGTTTATTTATAAACCCGAACCAGGCATATGCATTCTGTGATTGTGCAAATCTTCGTTCTTTGGTCAATTGGCTTATGGATAGTTGTATCAATTTCAACTCTTACATTATTTTTTTTAAAATATATTTGCATTACACATGCAATGGCAGTACCTTTCCAATTACTATTTATGTGTTGTGTATAAATTAAAGTTGTAACACTTTATAGTGACTGGAAAGGGTAGAAAAATTCATCAGATGAGAAAAGGCTAAAGATACTTCAAACGGCACTTGTATCCTTTCAAGCTTAGTTTATTTTGTTACCGTGTAGGGGTCCCATACTATGGCTCCATATTAAATTATAAGATCCATTCCTAAAGATCTAGATCATTGTTCTAATCTGACACAAATTTCAATAACTGGAATGCTACCCAAGTTGAATATATGGTGACCCACGAGAACAGCATTATCACTATTGAAATTGTGTTTAATACCATGATTGTTCAATGTCATTAAATTAAATGGAGACAGACATTTGACATGAAAGACACGAAAGGTGGCGTGGGAGTGCAAAATCAAACACTAACTGACTATGATATATGGTTAAAGAATGAAATCAATTACATGGGTCAACATGGTCAAGGGCAGAGTTGTTATGAAATAACAATATGGCAGAGAAGTGGTTTCAAGTTTCATATAAAGCGACCTGACTGACATGAAATAAAAAATCGAAGGAGTATACCTATTTGTCTAATCTTCAAGGTGAAATAAAACTAGTAAAACAATATTATACTATTGTCTAAATATACAGAAATATAATTTGCTTCAAGTAACAGAAATAACTAGGTCACTAGTAACTTATTTAATGAGTATGTGGGGTATAAGAGCTTGCTAACAACAGGCTCTTCATAATCATTTGGTTTGAAAAGGATACTAGTAGTCTATATTCTTGATTAAGAAAAATGTAATTGCAAGAAAAAAATCACATTACTTAGAATACTTTAGATCATTCAGGTAGTCTTTATTTATATGTACAAAAGAACAGCCAGTAGTCATTGGATATTGTAGATCATTCAAATAGTCTTGACCTTTTTATTAGTACGAAAGAACAGCCAGTAGTCATTGGATATTGTAGATCATTCCGGTAGTCTTGACCTATTTATTTATACAAAAAAACAGCCAGTAGTAATTGGATACTGTAGATCATTCAGGTAGTCTTGACCTATTCATTTGTACTGAAAAAACAGACACATATACGAATATCAATTATATGCTTACGAGACATGTTGCAATGTTAAACTTTTTACGGTATGTGAAAATCAAGACTTGCATAAAAATATCACAATATTAGAGACAGTGGCGTCATTTTTCCTCAGAGCTTTCAGCTCTTTGATTGGAGTATATACTTGCATAAGAGGGGCATAGCGTTTCCGGATAACTCCTCCTACAGTTTGAATGCTAGGAAGTTTTCACTTTGCTGGCTGTTTGTACATATATTGAAGGTGTGCATGTGGTCAGGGTTTTGATTTTTAGGCAGTTAAGCTGCCTTATGCGAGCACCCTAGATTTGTGTTCTACCTAATAAATGCTGAAATACGTGCCATTGTTATTATCTAGCTGGCTATTATGTTATTTATAACTAATTGGACATTTTTTTAATACTTTTATTTCTGGAATATAAAAATATGACCAGAAAAACCTTAAATGATCGTCGAACTACCCAAAACTTTTGAAGTTGCACATAGGAAGTAGTGCTTAATAGAAATCCGTAAGTAGTTGATTATCCCCTGTGCTTTTGGCTACGATGTCAAAGAACAATTGTATGAAATATTTCATCGCCGAAACTCGGTAATTACAAGTCGTTTATATTTCCCAAATAGCAATTTGCGCAGGAATATTGTTCATGTACAACAAAACTCTATGATAGAGGAAATAAAGTTATAT